GAAGCGGTTCATTAAAATCAAAACCATAACCGCCCCATTGCACCAGCGGTTCGGTTTTTTTCGCCCCATTCGGTTCGGTTAACCACGGTTTTCGATTTTAACAGTTCGAATTGCCATCCCTAGGTGTAAATAGTTGTGATGGTTTATGGCTTTTTAAATAGGGATGTAAATGAGTGTGAGCCAAAGATTATGGTTCCGGTGTGGCCTGGACAAAAAATGGCTCGAGTATTTTTGGCCCGAGTTGAGCTAAAGCTCGATTGAAAACTGAGGTTTGGCTCGAGCTTTAGGCACAGGCCTTACCGAGCCAACTTGATTTTTTTTTTAAGATAGGCCGCAGGTTGCCTGCAAGCAAGCTGCTGTCTGAAGCAGCATGTAGCCGGGCTTGTGACACGGGTCGACCCCTTGAACCACATGGCTGACTTGGGCTCAAGTTGTCATTTGAAAAGGAGGCTCGATTCCATCGAGTTGTGAGTCAAGCCAACTCGAGCTTTTTACCAGCCAAGTCTCGGATTGCTCAAGTCGACGAACAAGATTGACATCCCTAGTTTCAAATTTGGGATGCATCTAAGGGTTTCCTTAATGGAGGCGGCATCAATGATTGTGTTGATGATGGTTGCTGTTGCTAGTGGGCTAGTGGCGATAGAAGTGAAGGTTGAGTGTAATGTATAGACTTCAGTGCATTGTGTGTATACACAATATTTTTTGAAGTAAAACTATGAACAACAAGTATAAAATGTGGAAATTACACCCACGTGTGATTTTTAACTTTCCAATTCAAAAATCAAGTTTAAAAGTTTTTTTTTATTAAAAAATCATATGATAATTCAACTTTTTAATATTAATAATATTATAAAATTAAATTAATCCCCACGACCCTACCCCCACGACCCCCACATTTCACTTATAAATCCTAAATTATTATTATCCTCCTCTATCATCTCTTTTCTCTCTCTTTATCACACATGGAGATCACTGTCGAAGATCATCGGCAAGTGTTGATGCACAGCGGTGCAAATGTCACTGTGCAACGACGATGGTTTTGGGATGGTTTCTTCCTCATCCAATATGTTACTAAGCCGAAGTTTTTGAGTGGTTTTTGTTGGAGGTTTGAAAATGGTGGTGTTGGTACTAGTGCTGGTTTGGCAATGATTGTGAGGTGATGGTGGTGTATGTGTAGGTGGTTGTGGTGCTGGCAATGGTGGTGCTCGCGATGATGGTAAGGTGATTGTGGTTTAATGGTGTTGTTGGTGCGACAATAATGGTGTAGATCGTAGTGGTGGTGAGGTAGTGCGACGTTCAACTCGATAGTGAATTAGGGTCAAGGTTGAGTCGATCAGGTGGGATGAAGAGTGTTTGTGATCAATTATTTGAGTGATTGTGATCAATAAATTGGTTAATTTTGATCAATAAATAATTTGTAACCTATAAAATAGATAATTTGAAACCTAAAAAATGTAAGATTGCGACTAGATTTGTGACGTGACTCATAATTTGTTAAGTTATGATCAATTAATTTGATAATTTGTGATCGTGAAATAAGTTGTGAATTATAAAATTTGTGATTTGTGATCGAAAAATAATACGTGATCTGTTAATTTGATAATTTGTGATTTATAAAATTTGTGAATTGTAACAAAGAAATAATGTATGACCAATTAATTTGATAATTTGTAATTGATAAATAAATTGTGATCGATAAAATTTATGATTTGTGAACATCATGTGATTGTTATTAGTACGTAATTATAATCATAAACTGTATAATATTGTAACCTTAATATATATAATTAATAAATATTTTTAATTATATATGTAATTAATAATATTTGATTATCACCTAATTTTTGAAATTTTATCTATGTAATTAATAATATTTGATTATGACCTAATTTTTGAAATTTTATCTTTGTCTCAGGTTTTGAAGGTGCAGCAAAAGAAGACGGAGCACTTTCCTCAGTTTCATGTGATTCAACACTAGGGAGCTTGGATTTTTTCAACATAGTATTTTTCTGAGCTTCTTCAGAATAAATAGCAGGTGAAAAGATAAATTAATTTGAGAGTACTTTGCACTCTATTTTTTGAGACCTCATGATTTCTCTCTTACCATGGTTCATGCTGCTTCTATTGTTGGAATAGATGATTTTTTTCCTTTTAGTGTATTGTTAATATTGTTGTGGCGATAGTTGTGGTGGGGTCGACGACGGTGATGGTGGTTTTCTTGGTGTGGTGGTGTAGGCGGTGATGGGATGGTTGTTTTTTTTATTTATTATTATGGCGATGGTTGTGATGGTGGTGTGATGGGGGCGACAATGTTGGTGGTGCTGTGCAGGCGACGACGGTGGTGGTTTGGGTGGTGGTTGTTGTTAGTGTTATTGTTAGTGATTATGCTTGGGAATGAAGTTGTGTTGCCGCAGATCTGGGGATATGTAATGTCGCAGATGTGGGGACGTGTGGTTGTGTAGGTGGTGGATCTGTGGTGTTGTTTTGGGTGTTGGTGGTGGATCTGTGTTGGCGGTCGTGTGGTGGTGATGGTAATCCGTGTGGCGGTGGTCTTTTTTGTTATTGTTGTGGCGGGGTCAACAATGGTGGTTGTTCTTTTTGGTGTCTGTGACCTAACTACTGAACTGTGACTTTAAAATTGATAATTTGTAACTAAAAAAAAAAAATCTGTGACCAACAAATTTGAAAATATGTGACCAGTGACATATAATTTTTTTGATCTGTGACTTATAAAATTTTAGATTTGTGACCTCGAAATAATCCGTGATCTACAAAATTTTTGATCTGTGACCTAGGAAAACATTTGTCGGAGTAGTCGTCGGTCACCAGAGTAGTTGCCGGAGCAATAGGGAAAGGGGAGGTGGGGTGAAGTGAATTAATTACATTATATTACAGTTTAATATTTAATTTAATATAATAATTATGATATATAATTAATTAATTAATTAATGGAAAACCTAATTTTTGCAATTTTAAAATTTGGGGCCTGATTTTTGATTTCATGATAGATAATATCTGATCCATGAATTTTTTCCCAAATAAAATTTTGTTTTTCATCTCGATCTTATAACAAAGGCCTTTCAGAAATTGAAAATAAGCACAGAGCATTCTTGAAAAACCCAATACTTTACTGCTTTAGGCCTATCCATAGAATGAGTTGGGCCTTTATTGGTTGGCTATAATAGCCATGAAGTAATTTTCAAAAATGATGCTGGCCAGTACCACTTATGCTATAACACCAATTTCACTACGTGATACGTTCAAGATAAAATTAAGTCATTCATTTAATTGTTCGACTCATTTATTGAGTGCCACCTAAACTGATGTTAAATAATGTTACTCAATTTGCAACACATAACACAGTCTCCAACTTTATCTTACCTCATGAAACCAAAAACTTCAAATAGAAGGGAGGTTAGTATATGTTTTGAAAAATGTTCAAAAAATTAAGGAAACACTTATGTAGTATATCATATGTTTTGCTTTAGTAGATTTTGATAGAAATTGATAAAATTATATAATTGAAAAAGGTTGTTGGTTCCATAAAATTGTGATTAAGGCACCGTTTGGTAACCATTATTCTAGAAAAAAATGTATTCTTTGTATCAAATCACACCTTTTTTGTGGTTGAAAATGAAGGAAAGGTTATTGATGTGATGGAAAATATTATTTTATTGATGAATGTGTGGTTGAAAATTAGTAGAAGAATGAGAATTAAAAAAAGAATGGATACCAAACAGAGGCTAAAATTCATTCTGATTTTGATTTAAATTTTAATCAACTTTTTTTTTTTTTTTAATCTGAATCAAATAGGTGCTGATTAAGTAAATTTAAATTTTACTTAAATATGTTTCCTTTTTATTTAAAGTTGAAGTGCTTTATTAAGAAAACATGCTGTATTTGGATTGGGTTGGATTTTTTCGAGGTTCAATTCCAATATGATTTAGTTAAAAAAGTCGATCAAAGTAATTACACATCTCATAAGATTAATTATTTTTATGAATATTTTAATCACACGTTTCATTAACTTTTCTTAAAATTTACTAAAATTTACCCTTATTGGTTTGAGCATTAGAGGATATTATTATTTTATTTTATTTTATTTTTTTTGCTAAAGAAAAATGATAATCAACTTCAACAAATTCTGAACCGGAGGAAAACCTAACCTTTCGATGTGGCATGTGCTCATTGGGCAAACAACGTGAACTGGTTACACGTGGGATCCAAATATTGGTTAATGTAACGTGGAATGAAACTCGAGTTTTTACAACACAACTTCACACAAGCCTGCCTAATTCAAATTTCCAAATCGTATACAACTTCTACACGATTACTCTTACATACTTAACGAATATATGTATGTATATGTTAATTTATATCTGATATAGTTATATTTCGCCGCGGGTATTTGGAATTGCGACATGGAGAATTTAATGAAATTCTGGGGTTTTGATTTGGTAGCATTGAGGGGGTTTGTGTTTTCGATGTTCATTTTGAATTTTGTGTTTTCTTGCCAGATCCTCTTCCTCCAACCACTTGTTGCTGCTGTAGGTAATCTGATTTCTCCTTCATATATTGCTTTGTATGTATAGATATATGTGTGCGTGTGTAGCATATTTGTTAATAGCTTCGTTAATCTATATGAGACTATGAGTTGCTGGAATGTTCGGTTTTTGTGAATTCAGGAATTGGGATTTTTAGCTGGGTTTAACCTACATTGTTTCAGAAAGAGGAAATTGTTTGAAGAAGGATTGAGTTGGATGGTGCTAATAAAACGAAGCTATCTTTTGAAATTATGGAAAGAGCACTTATTGGTTGTGTCAAAATTTCAATACACCTGGGTTTCATCTACTTCCTTGCCCCAGCTTGTATTTCCTTCACCGCCCCCCCTCATTATTATGCCCCCTTACTCTACCTTTCTCTCCGCCTTCCATCACATTCTCAATATTGTTCGACTTGTACTCCACAGAATGCTTCAATAGAATTTAGAAAATGCATGAGAATAGGCTAATATATTCTCTGACGGTGGTGGCGGGAAAGGAGGGCAGGGAAAGGAGGGGATTGGTTGTGCTTGTTGTAGAAGGTGGGGTTAATTTTGCGAAAGACACTTCTTGAATAGGTGCAAGAAGCCTGATGGTTGAGTGATGAAATAACTAAAATATTTAAGGGAGAGTGTCAGTAGGAGGTGAGGACTGAGGAATGGGGAGGTAGACTATTTTTCTCATTTGCTTCAAATGTGTCCCCTAAAACTTGTGCGCTTGCAAATATTTACAATTTCTGGAATATAATTTGATCATAATGAGGTCTTGGCAGCCTGATCATATCAATGCAAATTAAGATGAATTAAAAAATTTCAAGAATTATGTGATCCTTTACAACTTCTGGATTCTCCCAGTTTTGCGTATGAATAACATAATGGAAGGCTGAAAATTTGTTCTTGGGTGGGTGCCAATCTAACAACTTTTTTTATCGATTTGAAAGAGATTGTTGTTCTGGAATTTGTATTTAAATTTGAATTGATATCTATATAGCATGTGACAATGGGCATGCCTTCATTCTTCTGTTTCTATTGGAAAAGACAAAAAATTCAGCAGTGCTCTAATAAAAATTCATGAAATTAATGTAGTTCTGCCGCGAAGAATGAACCTTTGTATGATGTAGTAGGTGAGATCTTTACTTTTTTCTTCTTTAGTGACCAAGATGCTGAAACTATGGTCTTTTTCCCCCTAGAACCACGAAGATCACATGTGAAAGAATTAAGTGACTATCAAACTGAAAAGAAGCACTGAAAGTTATAAATAACTCCTTTTGTGTATAAAACTTGTGGAAGGTGAACGGTTAGCTGAATTAATGATTATTTTTTTGATCCCCCAAGATAATTTGATATTAAAATGTTAATTGTTGCACTTAGTGCGTGTCTTTATGTTTTGATCTGCAGATGGTCAACCTAGTGATGCTGCTGCTCTTTTCGAGAAAGCTTCACAAAGTATAAAAGTTAAGAAATATAGTGAAGCACTCGAAAATCTTAACGCTGCTATAGAGACTGATCCTGGACTTTCTGAAGCATATTGGCATCGAGCATCTATTCTTCGTCGGTTTTGCAGGTTGGATATAGGAATTTTTGTTGATGCATTTTGAAGAAAATTGAAATTTTGTCCATGAACAGACTTTTTCTTGGTTTTCTTTGTCAAACGCATTTAGGGCGTGTTCGGTAGAGATTAAAATGAGATTAAAATTGAAAAACTAGCCGTTATTGTTGACTTTGGGACCCAATAACGGCTAGTTTTTCAATTTTAATTCGATTTTAATCTCTACCGAACATGCTCTTAGTTGTCCTATGAAATGTATTAGGCACTCAAAGATAATGATTTCCTAACAATTAGTGAGTAGGTATCTTACAAATGCCATTACTAAATCGGAGCTGATTGAGTTTTCCTGAATTTGGTCTGCTCATACTAGTTGTATAGTTTAAAATCTCATGTTACGTACTTCCATTCATTATGGAAATGTATCATAGGGGCATCATTATTGATTTTGCAGTTTGTAGCCCTGAGTTTGTTCCTCAATTGTATACAATGATTTGATCGACAAATTATATTATATTGTGAAGTTTTTGGGTAATGTAGATATGAGGAATCAGAAAAAAGCTACAAAAAGTTATTGGAGATGAAGCCCAGGAATTCAGCAGCAGAGAAGGAGCTTTCTCAATTATTCCAAGCTCAAAGTGCCTTGGATTCAGCTAAGAGCCTCTTTGATTCAGGTGACTTCACGAAAGCACTGGAGTTCATTGAAAAAGTTGTGCTTGTTTTCTCTCCAGCCTGCTCCAATGTATGTATTCGATCTGTATTCATTTTTGAATTATGATTTCATTTACCGTGTAAGTTGGCTATTTCATGCTGCAATATATAGATTCAACTTAGCCAGTACATTATCTGTTGCTTTGTTGCAGGCCAAACTCCTTAAAGTGAGACTATTATTAGCAGCTAAAGATTATTCCAGTGCTATATCTGAAACGGGATATATTCTCAAAGAAGATGAGGATAACTTAGAGGCTTTGCTGTTACGTGGCCGTGCCTATTATTATTTGGCAGATCATGACGTTGCTATTAGGTATGTTTTGAAACACATTTATGATTTCCTACTTCTCACACTCACACTCCTGAACCATGCCCAACCCCACCCGAAAGCAAGAAAATGCAATAAAAATAAGATGGGAAAAACTGAAGAAGTAATGACTTTTTAAAGTTGTACTTATTTGAGGAATTGAGTTCTTACATTTTATTTTTCCACATTTTCTTCCTCAGGCATTACCAGAAGGGTCTTCGGCTAGACCCTGAGCATAGTGAATTGAAGAAAGCATATTTCGGATTGAAAAATCTGCTCAAAAAGGCTAAATCTGTAATGTGTTTAGTTGCTTAATGTAGCAATTCATTTTTATTCAATGATGTAATATTGATCATTTCTCAAATGTAATATTTTTTATGCAGGCAGATGATAATGCAAGTAAAGGTAAGCTTCGTCTTGCAGTGGAGGAATATAAGACTGCCCTTGCCTTGGACCCAGACCATACTGCTTATAATGTACACCTTCATCTTGGATTATGTAAGGTCTTGGTGAAGCTTGGTAGGGGAAAGGAAGCAGTCACAAGTTGCTCGGGAGCACTTGAAATTGATGAAGAGCTTATTGAAGCTCTTGTCCAGGTTTCTACCTTTCGTTATTTTATTTTTCTCTGATAATAAAGAAAAAGTGCATTAAGATGCTTCCTAATCTATACTGTCTATCTTGACCTGGTTAGTGGTTTTCGAACTTTCTTGTTGATGTTATCTTGGTTAACTTTTCCTCAAATGTTCCAGAGGGGTGAAGCCAAACTTTTGGTAGAAGATTGGGAGGGAGCTATAGCCGATCTGAAATCAGCAGCTGAAAAGTCACCTCAGGTTTGTCCCGCATAACTTCGTGTCAGAATTACATTTTTATTTCTTAAGATGTTTCAACTTTAACAATAGAGCATCATTGCAACTTTACACAAAAAACTGATTTAAAACTTCAAATATCATGTTGAAGGTGATGTTCTAAATCTAAGAAGTCAAATTACTCATATATGACTTCCAGTTTTACATCTTTGCCACCAAACCAACCATGCCCAAAACAGAACAAGTAAAATTGGAAAAGTAATATTAATTCTTTACAACTATACATGTCAATTTGAAGTGCATATTTTGTTGGAACAATTTAGGTTTCTCTCGTTGAATTTATATAAGAAACTTTAAAGGTAAACATGCTCTGTTTATGTTTTCCAGTTTTTATTTACTCATGAGCTCTTCTTATCTTTTTAATCATCTTTAGTATAAAACTTGTTAAATTCTAAGAGCATAATGCTGATAGGATTCTTGAGTGCATACACATTAGAGTCAATTGGATGAAAGGGAAAAGTAGTTACAGGGAATCAAGAATTTAGGTAAAAATGTAACAAACTAAGAGGAAAACACCTACAAGTTTTTAAGGATGCACATGTGCCTATTAACATGGGTGCAACAGAAGTGAGGATATTAAGATCTGAAGTAGATAAGATAAAAATGATTATATACATCAACAAGTAGAGATAGTAGAGATTAAGGATAAATTAGAGGGACTTAGGTGGTGGGCATATCTTGCTCAGACCTAAAGAAGCTCCTATTTACAAGAATAATGTGATTGGGTAGAGTATTTCAGGAGAAAAGAAGCCCAAATTGATATGGCTTAATGTGACTATGAAGAATTTGATAGCATGAGAACTTTGACGCAACACGAAACGAGAAATTAGCTATAATGCAGAACACGTCTAAAAACTCTTGATTCGCGGTGGAATATGAAATAATTGATTTTTATTAACAAATTGTTTATTTTGTAGAATACCAATTTGGATTAAAAAAAAAAAAAAAGAATTGGAAATCTCACATTTCAATAAAATATGCAAAAACAACGGAATAAGGAAAACAAAGATATTCTGAACTTTATCTTCTAAACACACATTATAGGAAACAAATTAAACTCCTAATCAAATAAGAATTCTAATGATAAAGAAATTAAATAATTTTCGTTAGAATAAAAGAAAGCCCATTTTGACCAACTAAACTATAGAGTATGGCCAAAAAATCACAGGGCCCATGAATTTTTTTTAGAGGCCCGTTTTGCATGAAAAGTTATTTTTTATCCAATTCTTACACCATTGACTAAAACACGGCCAAAAGTCTTTTATTACATCAATCTTTCAAGTTCAAACAACTCATGGAAAGGGAGTTGTGTTATTGATATTAATTTATGGGAATAAAGCTTAGCCACTGTTTAGTGGGGTCAAATTTTTAGTAGATTTTGATTAAAATTGATGAAATGTGATTGAAAAGTTGTAAGTCCCATAAAATATGTGGTTAAAATTAATTGTTGACTTTGACTTGAATTAAAATTTAACCCTTGTTTGGGTTTCATTAAAATTTAAATATATTTTTTTCTTTCTTCTTTTCAGCCACATATTCTTCAATAAAATAATATTACATGTAAATGCAAAACTTTTCCCTATTTTTTAAACACATTTTTCCCTAAAAGTTAATTTTAATGGAGCCCAAACAGGGGCTTAGATTTTAATGTCCACCAAATAGGGACTTAGTTTGTTATTGCTAGTCTTTGAGGCCTCTAACCATAAAAACACCATAGTAGTGTGTCACAAGGATTTAATTCATAGGATTCTGGCTTTTTATGTATTTTGCTTTATCTACACTTTTTTCCTTGCCTTGTTTACCACTTTAAACATGTGATTTGTGAATTTGATAGCATGAGAACTTTGATGCAGCACGAAATGAGAAATTAGCTATAACGCAGAACACGTCTAAAAACTCTTGATTCGCGGTGGAATATGAAATAATTGATTTTTATTAACAAATTGTTTATTTTGTAGAATACCAATTTGGATACAAAAAAAAAAAAAAAAGGAATTGGAAATCTCACATTTCAATAAAATATGCAAAAACAACCGAATAAGGAAAACAAAGATATTCTGAACTTTATCTTCTAAACAAACACATTATAGGAAACAAATTAAACTCCTAATCAAATAAGAATTCTAATGATAAAGAAATTAAATAATTTTCGTTAGAATAAAAGAAAGCCCATTTTGACCAGGGCCCATGAATTTTTTTTAGAGGCCCGTTTTGCATGAAAAGTTATTTTTTATCCAATCCTTACACCATTGACTAAAACACGGCCGAAAGTCTTTTATTACATCAATCTTTCAAAGTTCAAACAACTCATGGAAAGGGAGTTGTGTTATTGATATTAATTTATGGAAATAAAGCTTAGCCCCTATTTAGTGGGGTCAAATTTTTAGTAGATTTTGATTAAAATTGATGAAATGTGATTCAAAAGTTGTAAGTCCCATAAAATATGTGGTTAAAATTAATTGTCGACTTTGACTTGAATTAAAATTTAGCCCCTGTTTGGATTCCATGAAAATTTAAATATATTTTTTTCTTTCTTCTTTTCAGTCACATATTCTTCAATAAAATAATATTACACGTAAATCCAAAACTTTTCCCTATTTTTTAATCACATTTTCCCCTAAAAGTTAATTTTAATGGAGCCCAAAAAGGGGCTTAGATTTTAATGTCCACCAAATAGGGACTTAGTTTGTTATTGCTAGTCTATGAGGCCTCTAACCATAAAAACACCATAGTAGTGTGTCACAAGGATTTAATTCATAGGATTCTGGCTTTTTATGTATTTTGCTTTATCTACACTTTTTTCCTTGCCTTGTTTACCACTTTAAACATGTGATTTGAGTTAGAATGAAAAGTGTTAAGAGATTAAAAAACTTTCAATTCTCATATATCAGGATTATATGTAACACGAAAACACTTATTAGTTTAAGAATGCAAATATGTTTGTAAGATTAAGAGATTCAAAAACTTTCAATTCTCATATATCTGGATTATATGTAACACGAAAACACATAGTAGTTTAAGAAGGCAAATATGTTCGTAAGATGAACATAACGGAAGTGAGAATTTTAAGATGGATAAGTTGTTATCTAAAATGTATAAAATAAAAAATGATTATATACATCAACAAGTAGAGTTAGGATCGAATAAGGATTTAGGAAATGACAACTTAATTGGTTCGTGCATATATTGCGTAGACTAAAGAAGCTCCCTTTTACAAGAATGATGGGATTCCTGTGGAACTTGTTATGAGAGAGGTAGACCAAAATTAATATGGCTTAATGTGGTTATGAAGGATTTGATGGCTTTGGATTTCCATTGAAAGTTTAGTGAGATGAAGAGGAGTCATGTATTGATCCAAATTTACTAGGATTAAGACTTGTTTATTGTTGCCAGTTGCCATTGTATATGGGGCCTCTAACAATTAAGAACATCATAGTAGTGATGAGTTTGATTCAAAAGTGTTAAAGACAAAAGTTTCAACACTGATGTCTAATGTTGTCAAGTTGGGCCTCCATCTAATATCTTGCTTCAAGTTGTGATTTATGGAATAAGAGTAGTTTATGTATTTTGATTTTTCTCGTCAGCTATGAATGAGCTGCTCATACAGTCTAATCCCTTACTTCAGTAAAACATTATGAAAATTTGCTTGTTTGGCACGGTTTATAATCGGTCAAACTTACTTTCTATTCACACCTTTCGTAGGACTCAAAACTACACACTTATCCACCACTCAAATTTATATGTTTATAATTTAAACTGTTTATTAACACCTATGAAACAAGCTTTCAGTTGAGTGACGTGATAGAATTGTTGAAAATTACCCAAAAATTTCCATTTTTAATTTTTACGGTTTTGTTGTTGATAGACAATTGCTTTTCTTGTGGATGTACTCTAATTTCTATTGCTTAGCCATTAGCAATTTAAAATTGTGAGCTCTACAGGATATGAATATTCGTGAAGCACTAATGAGGGCCGAGAGGTCTTTAAAATTGAGTCAGCGGAAGGATTATTACAAGATTTTGGGAATTTCGAAAACAGCGCCAATGTCGGAGATTAAACGGGCTTATAAGAAGCTAGCTTTGCAGTGGCATCCAGATAAGAATTCTGACAATAGAGCAGAAGCAGAGGCCAAATTTCAGGAAATAGCATCTGCATATGAGGTTGGTACTTCAGTAATCTGTCTTCATTTGTTTCTCTCATTCTCCCTGCTTTTCCACTTCAACCTGTTGATGATCCTGCTCATTTGCTTTTCTATGATACTATGATATGCTACTATACTATGGTAACATGTTTTACAGTCGTTATGGCAAGACATCGTGCATTTAGGCAAGTCACAGCCATGTCCCTAAGATTGAAGAAATATATTGTGAACATTTGACCAGTAGTTTCTTGATTAAATTGTTTTGACTACATTAATGACAGCCGGGCAAGTACCTTAGTGCAAGTTAATTTGTAAAATGTTTTTTATGACTCAAGCATAGAATTTCTATGGAATTAATATCACTTATTTTGATATGAGTTCACGACTATGCCTGAACTCACCTGGGTGTATACTTTTTATTGTTTGTTGGAGCCACCAGTATAAACAATTTCAGTGAAGCAGATTATTACTCTTTGTTCTGTTCTACATTTTCCCCTTCATTACCCTTTCTTGTAATCCTTTTTCGCATGACGTGGCTATTAATAGAATGAGAACTTGGACACTGCAGATTCTTGGTGATGAAGAAAAACGTACCAAATATGACAGTGGCGAAGACATTGACGAGGGTATGGGAATGGGTGGCGGAGGATTTAACCCTTTTGGAGGAGGGGGCCAGCAATATACATTTCACTTTGAAGGAGGATTTCCTGGTGGGGGCTTTGGTGGCTTCCAGTTTTGACCTCGAGGAAGTTTGGAAATATGTTTCACTAACAGCTTTTCTGCTGAGATTTCGGAGACTATTTAGAACAGCAATTTTGTCTAACCCCTACACCTGCAATGCACACCTTAATAGGCAATTTTTGCAAGCTGTCCGATTACGAAAATCTCTTATTTGAGGAAGTTTATCTCTGCGTGGGATCTACATTCTGAAATTTTAAAGATCATAGTTGATTGAAGGAAAATGAAAACCTTTTATTTGAATTGTAGTATGTGCATAAATAATTATTTTATGGAGTTTTGTGGAAGGCACTTGAAGCCAGCAAAATATTGTTCAAGCGTGAAGGTTCTGGACTCGTGATTCAGTTTCTTGTGAATACTATTGCTCTGTTTTCTAGTTTGAAGCGTCCATCAAACCATCTCAAGTTGAAATAAAGTTCATTTCAGAATAAAGTGGCAAAACAAAGATTACGAAAGCTGTTATTTATAAAAGAATTTCAGTGATTCTTGTGCGCATTTTTGAGGTTCAACCTTGCTACAAGTACAAAGAGAATTGCCGGACTGCATTACACGGGGCAGGTGGCGCGCATTCATTGGACCTTGAACAAAAAACAGTTTTATTCCAGTCAATGAACATGCGCCATCTGTTTCCCAGTTAATCTCGCGTGAACAAGGGGCTTAACTCCTGGGGTTTTCATAACGCTGGAAATTAGATATATTCAAAACTGAAAACAATCGTTGCTTAATGACAGATTCTTACATATGAGAAAAAATTAATTGGTCAAAGACAAAGAAAGCAGGAATACAGAGAACTCCATTAGCACACACTGTTCACACACTCAAAAACAAAATGCTGACAAAACTAGAATGAGACTGGACATTGCACGTATTGAATGTTGGGACAAATGAATTGCACCAGAAGTATCGACACGAGCAGTATCATCAGACGGGGAAGAATCTGAAGCGGCCTGTTTTTCGGGCTTTACTGGTGCAGGAGCCGGCGGTGGAGGTACAAAAAGACCATGCGGAAGGAGTACTTTATCAACCTGATACACGGCTAGCAGGTTATCAGTGTACACTGTATTGGCCACTGCTGCATTAACCATATCGGTTGTTATGTTCACCTGATTCCCAGTTGCAGTTACATTGAGTGGAAATTGTCCATCATTGCCAACTTGTGTTCTTAGTGGGTTGCTTGCGGTTTGGAATTGGGAGACGGAGAAAAATGAAGGCAAGACATGGAATTGGATCAGCTCAACTTTCTGTTGATCAGTGAGAGAGTTTAATGTGCCCGGTTTGAGGCTAGTGAATGCAGCATCAGTTGGAGCAAATACTGTGAGACCTTGATTTGATTTGCTAAGCTCTGTATTGAGTTGATCAGCCACTTGGGAGGTTTTTAGGAGTCGAATAAATGTTGTATTTTTTAGGAGTCGAATAAATGTTGTGTATTGACGGGCCTTTTGAAGAATAACGATTATGTCGGGGGGACCAGGAGGTCCAGGAGCTGGAGCCGGACTCTGCGAAAGAGTTGGATTGGAATAAATGAAGAAAATGAAGAAGAACACAAGTAGGAATGTTGAGAAAATCTGCTCCATTTTGCAGTGTTTATTTTTTATTTTTTCCCTTTCTTGTCGGGTTTAAAGAAGAATGAATAAATCCTTTGGTTGAAGATGAAAGAACTCATAGGAGAGGGCTTGATTTATATTAAGTGAGATTCGTTTTTTTGGGCAAAAAACATTTTTTTTTCTCCCTGTGACTTGCACACTTAAGATGGGCAATGAATGTTGAGTAAGGTGAAAGGTGCACTTTAAGGTGGCAATAATACTTTGACAGTGTTATGGCAGCTACTGGTTTGCTTAAAATTGGAGGAAGAACAACTTGGATAATATAGCTGGGACAGCCTATTGTGCTTTGAACAGATCTTTTCATTCCAGTTTCCATTCTTGTGTACAGAAAACTGTGATGATAATCATTGTCTAGTGTATGAGGAATCATTAGGCAGTATGACTTCAATGTCAATGATTGGATTAGATAAGGAAAAGGGTTAAATTAGTTTGTGCATCATATTATTGGATGGTATGCAGATTAGTTCAACAAATGGGGCCTCCAATTGGTTCATTGGAAACATGTATAGTACCTTAATTGGCAACTAATTCGTGCTAATGTTGTTGGGACATCCGGGTACTTCACAACAGAATAGGCGGGCTGAACTCAAAATTTTTACATCTGTATATATTATCAATCAGATTCCTTCTCCTGTCGCTTATAAGTTATAATTAGTCTCCATAAGAATTTTTTTTTTTTTTGGTACGCTTCCTAACTGTTGTAAAGCAAGCCAATTCGCAATAACCCGACGATAGAATTTATACCACTTGTTATGAATATTAAAATTCAAGAAAATATGATAAGATAAAAAGAATCACACAAAATTTGATGTGGAAACCCAAATCCGGGAAACCCAAGGGCAAATGCGGAGAATTCACTATTATTAATAGCAAAAAAGTACAAAAGGATCTCGCAAGACTCTCAACTTATTTCAAAATATGCGAGTCCCTCTCTCTATAAACTAAATTTGCTTGCTTTGATGTTCTTTCAATGCTATACAATATTTTGCTATGCTTATTCTATATCATGTGGAGTATATATAAGAGCCAAAGTTTGGTGTTTTGAATGAAACACAATACAAAAATTAAGGTCAAAATCAAATTCCTCCTGATTACGTGGTGCCACGGTGCTATGGCTGGCATCCTAGCACCAGCTTTCTATATCAATATCGTGCTTTTGGCGCCCAGGCACCCCATCTGTTCCAAGCACTCCAAACACGTTTTTCATCAATTCCAAAGTCTTTCCAATCAAACTCCCAATCTTTGATAAAATTTGATCCCTTTTCAAATCGGACTTCCAAACCAAAATTGTTTATGCCTTCTCCTCCTCATCTATCAATCAAACAACCCAAACCTAATTCAAATAGGAATTTGGGTCATATTCTAACACTAACTATAACCTCAAAGTATTTTGATGTGCATGTCTATTCAACTTCAATCGTGCGAGCATACAAAATTACAATATCGATCCGTTTATATTGCTTTCTTGGGTATGGAATCAAACATAAACACTATCGATGTTGGGATCAAATCTTAAAGCGACTTTGCATTTCACTTCATGTTACTTTTTGGGAATATAAAACGTTTTCATCCATGTTGCAAGTTTAAGTGTCTCTTATTTTACTAATCTCTCTATTGAGTTGTTCTCTGGTGATGAATCCATTAGTGAGCTCACTCTAGTTTCTACTAATACACCCGGCAATGGGGTGCCCCTTCAATTACAAATTCGTACTTCACGAATTTGCCCCCACGATTTTAGTTATAGAAATTTGCCACCACTCTACAAACCTAGCCCTGTCCTTGCCCTATCCTGACACTATAGTTGAATATGTGGATTCTGAATGTACTGTTAATTCCTAGACTCGTTAGGGAAGTGATATCCTTTTACGTCACTCTACAAGGGTATGAAACCTCCCTACCCATCTTCATGACGATCATTGCTTTTCTACTATTAGCCCTCTACATGAATCTCGTACCTTTTGCGAGCCCCTTGTTAAAAAGCAATCGCTGAAGAATGGCAATTCTAAAAACAAGCACTTGAGATGTTGTTGATGTACCTGTATGAAAATCATAGGGTGCAAATGTGTTTATAAAATCAAAACACTTTCGGATCATTCGGTTGATAGATATAAAGCTTGCTTGATTGCAAAAGGATTTACTAGGACTGGACAAAACTTTCGAACCTGACCTGAACCGACTTGAACCGAATCGAGCGATTTTTCTTAGGTTAAATACTCGAATGGATATCTGAATCAAGAACCGATAAGTTTTGGTTCGATTTTCGATTCTAGACCAAGAACCCAGTCTTCCTAATTTTTATAATTTTTTATATTAAACAAACCAAATTATTTTCATTTTTTCTCCAATAAATTTGCCAACTAATTAATTGAGCCCAAAAATATCATTTTCCTATTTCATTTGCCAACTAATTAATTTAGTCTAAACCAAAATATGATTTTCCTATTTCTAATTTCTAGCCAAAGCCCAACTTAATCAAATTGAAGATGCTATTGATGAAGATTTTGACATTTTAATTTGGTGGAAGATCAATAAATCAAGATTTTTGTTTATTACTTGTGATTTTTCAATCATTTCTTGTAGAGATTCTTAATATGATAAGTCAAGCATGGATAATTAATTTAAATGGTTGGTAAGTACTAGCAATATTTAAAAGTATTTTATTTCTGTAACTTCTAATTTATATTTTATTTTTTATGTACTTGAAGTAAAGGAATCAATGAGATGAAATCGTCGATATTTTAGTATTATTATTACTTTGTGGTAATTTGTATACCTTATTGAATGAACCTTATTATAGAATTTCTTATTTGAATAATTTTAAACTGAATTATGTTAATTTGTAAGAACTAAGATTGAACATGACATTAGTTGTATTAATGTAGTGTTGTTGTAAATATTTAAAAAATTAATTATGGTATGGAATCATAATTAAATTTGGACCCGATGGTTCCATTTACTAAATACCAAGACTTCTATAAAAGTCTAATTGTTGTTGCTGCAACAAAACAATCTATTTCAATGGACGCTAAGAATGTTTTCCTTATTGGTGATCTCACTAAAGAAGTCTATATGAGTCCTCCTTCTGGATATAATCATCCACCAAACACTGTTTATCATCTTTGTCTTGAAAAAGCTCGCGAGCTTGGTTTGCTAAATTTAGTGCCACTATTCTGCAACTTGGTTTCACTTCTAGTTCTTATGACTCGGCTTCATTTATTCGCAAATCAAATGGATGTATCACACATTTATGTGGATGATATGATTATTATTGGAGATGATATTTCTAGCATTCATGATCTCAAACAACATCTCAGTCGAGTTTTGAAATGAAAGATTTGGGCTCGCTTACTTACTTTTTAGGTCTTGAGGTCACATCTAGCACTAATGGGTATTATTTATCTAGTGCAAAAAATAACTCTGATTTAGACCATGTTTGAAAGAATGAGTTTTTAAATAGTAAATTTTTGGAGAGTGTGTGGTTGAAAATGAGTAAAAAAATTTCAGTTTACGCAAATAATATTTTATTGTGAGAATATATGATTAAAAATGAGTCTGAAAAAGAAAGAGTTTGAAAGAATGGCCATCAAACAGGGGCTCAGTATTTCTGGATACATTAACAGACAACAAAGTTACCTCCACCCCTCTTGAAAATAATGCTAAGCTTACTCCTATAGACGTGACGTCTTGGTGATCGTACACTCTATAGATAATTTGTTGAAAGCCTTGTATATCTTACTGTTACATGGCTAAATGTTGCACAGGCTGTTCACATATTTAGCCAATGTATGGCTACTCCTTGTTCATCTCACTTTGCTACCATTCTTCATATTCTTTATTTTGTAAAAGGCACTCTCTTCTATGGCTTACACATTTCACCTGTACAACTGAGTGCTTATTCAAATGTTGATAGATGCGTGATGTCACTGATAGACATTCCATAATGGTTATTTTTTTTGATGACTCAGGTGTCTAAATTTTGCCTGACTAATCTTGAGGAGTGACGATCTTCCCTCCCTGGTTCGCCATCCGGGTTAATCCAAATTCGGTCACAATTTATACATACTTGGGCCGGACATTTGGCGGTTCTCCTCACTGTGGATTTCTGCCTTTCAACATTGAAATTTTGCCTTCTAACATAAATGTTGCATTCCAGCTGTAGCGGGGATTCGAACTTTTGATGCTCCGTAGAGAATCCTCATACTTTACCACTACGCCATGCTCGTGGGGGCAACATTCCATAATGGTTATTTCTTCTTATTCTTGGAGTAGTAAGAAACATACTGAGTCTAGTACTGAGGCAGAATATAGAGCTATTGCAGATACCACATATGAGCTTATTTGGCTTCAACGGTTATTTAGTGATATGGGAATAAGTCATTTTGGTCCTACTATCCTTTATTGTCATAAACGTAACAAACTAAATAGAGGAAAACACCAATAAATTTAAGAAGGAAAATGTGTCCATTTACATAGATAGGTTGTCATCTATAAGTAGATGGATAGAAAATGATTATATACGTAAAAAAGTAGAGACGGTATGAATTAAGGATAGATTAGATGAGAGACGAATTAGGTGGTTGGGATTATCTTGCTTAGAACCAACTTGCTTAGAACCAAAGAAACTCCTGTTTACAAGAATAATGTTTTTGAGTAGAGAACGTTAGGATAAAGATAGGCCTAGATTAATATGGCTAATGTGATCATGAAGGATTTAATAGCATTAGGTCTTTGATGCAGTGCAAAGCGAGTAATTAGCATTATCGCAGAACATGTATAAAAACTCTTTGATTTACTCACAAATACCAAATAATTGATATTTGTTAACGAATTGTTTATTTCGCAGAAGGCCAATCTGGATAACAAAGAAATTGATGATGAAGAAAAATGTACCAAATACGACGGTGGCGAAGATATTAAAAAGGGTATGGGAATGGGTGGCGGAGGATTTAACCCTTTTGGAGAAGGGGACC